ATTATTATCTTTTAAATTTTATTTAATGTTTATTAAATCAAACAAAACAAATTTATAGCCTTAGGACCAAAATTTGGACCAATTAGAAAATGGGCCCAACAACCAAATACACAGTTAGATTCAGCATATGAAAAAAAATGTAATACTAATAGCATGAAAAATTGTGATACTTATAGCAAAAAGTCCCAACATAAAGAATCAAAGCTTTCTCAAAATCAAAATCCCAAAATATTGTTCTCTTCTATATACTGTAAAATATCATGAATCAATCGCATGCTATCCCTTATATAATGCTTAATGGTCCAATATCAATTTCATAGAGATCCAAAGACCAATACTTAAGTAATTGTCCATTAACAAGGAAACCCTGGTTTCCCCCCTTTTTTGCCCCTAATTCCTAAACGGTTTGAGCCATAACCCCCCAAAGCCAATCATAACCATCCTTCTGTGGTATGGAAACTTGTGGTATAATTTGAGAGAGATCCATACACTGTTCCCCAAGTTATTGTCTGGAAACTAGAAACATGCTTATTTAGACACTTTTCGGCCCCTTTTTCCCAAACTGTTGGGACCATAACCCCCAAAATCTATCCCGACCTTCCTTTTGTGGTTTTAAACCTTGTGTTTAAATTTCATAGATTTCTATTAACTTATACTAAAGTTATTGTCCGGAAACCAAATGTCTTCGGACGACGCTGACGCCGACGACGACGTCATACCAATATACGACCGCAAAATTTTTGATAGTAAAAATTGGCAAAGCTGTTAATTAAATAATATATATCATCTTTTTCCAAGAGTTAACCTTGACTGAATGCAGGTGAGACAATATCTGATTATGTTTCCACTTATTCCTTTGATATTATAATGCATAGTTTCTTTGAAGTTTATAAATATTATTATCCGTTATACCACCTGTTACGAGTTGATAATGATTGAGATTTTCGTCATAAAATTCATTTTTGAGAAACTGGCAATGAAATGCGTTTGTTTTTCTCTTCGAACTTTCAAAGACTTGGATAAATGCCACTTGAGCCTATTATACGAGGGAGGTTTCAGATTGGAATTATAAGTATGCTTTACTTTTAACATATACATTTACATAGTTATAAAGAAGCCGAAGAGAGCATATTTAGTGCTTTAATGATCCAATATCTATTGAAAAGCTTAAGGTTGATGTTAGGCAAAAACTGTAATGTCCTTAAAGTTATGTGAATAAAACACTTTTGTGAATACTGATGTTACATGAGATGGTCCTTATTGGACTATGAGTAGAACTTAAATATTGATGTAATGCATACTGTACAAATTAGGCCAAGTGAAGACTAAAATTAAAAATAATTATGATACCGATTTCTGTTCTTACTTCACGTGAACATGGAATAACCTCCATTATGAATACTAAAGGCACAATGTTCCGAATGTCAAAAAATAAAATGTTTGAGAGCATTACTACGAACAGAGAAGTCAAAACGGTCCAAGGTTAACTTTGCTTGAGGGAATTGGTTGGTACTGTTACAATTAAATGATATGTTAACTGGGAATTGACATTTAAAGCATGCCACCAACACTAGCGGATTTTACCATCGAGGACCAGCTGCCTACCGACCCAGTGGTAGTTATAGAACGTATAATAACGATTTCCATTAGGACAAAACGTGTTTCCTAAATAAATCCTTCATTAGGGATGGTGCTAGAGACCAACAGTTTAATTACAGTAGATAGACACAGTTTTTCCTATGGTTTTATGAATTACGTAAGATTTATAATAAAATAACGTTGGCAATGTGTAAGGGGGCAACTTTTTAATGGGTAATCTACTACATTTTGCCAGCATGAATTATCATTGGTTCTGTATATTAAGAATAATTAAACAGTTTTCTTGCTAGAGACCCATTGAGATAGGGAGATGGACAAATATTCAGAGAGATAGAAGAAATTGTAAAATATGTAACTCTAAAGATCTTGGAGATGAGTATCATTATATTATGATGTGCACAGAGATGTCAGTAAAAAGAAACGAATGTATTGATAAAAAATATGTAAATCGTCCAAATATAATCATGTTTAAGAAAATTATGAATTTAAATATAAAATCTAAATTGAGAAAGCTGTGTACTTTCATTAGATTTATAAATTGCCATGTGTGCCCTCCTGGCTAAATACTATCAGTATAATTGTAAATAGTGTACATATTTTGCTCTGTGTATTCATGTATTTATGTCTGTATTATTGATGTCATGTAGTGTCTGTATACCATTGTAATTGCAAAGGTTTGACAGAATAAAGATATATATAGAGATTTTGTATATATTGTATGAATCATATACACCTTAATATTAACCGTTCACTTACATATTCATTTATAACACTGCTAAGGGCAAACATTAAGCCAGATGCGTGTAAATTTGATTATGTCGATTCTGTAAAAACATTTCATAAAACAGACATTCCAATCATGCAACAAATGGTTGCATAGGAAGTAACTATTCAGTATAATAAAAAAGAAAAGTCAACAGGTTAATTAAGTTTCTCTATTTGATAAAACTAAAAAATGTTTTATAATATTAATCAAAAATGAATATGTTTTCTTTCAATAACAACAAGTGGGCAGAGTAACATTAATGTGATCGTCACCAGCTGATCTTTCCGGTATATAAAATAAACATATCTGTGCTTGATTCATATAAAATTAAGAAAATTTAGTGTGATTGCCAATGAAACAACTTTCCACTAGAGACGTGAAGTTAGCAACTATAGTTCAACGTACGGCCTTCAACAACGAGCAAAACCAATACCGCATAGCAAGTAATAAATAGCAGCCTGATTTATGTCAAAACTGTAAACGCAAAACAAATATGACATACTGCATCAAACGACAACCACGGAATTACAGGCTCCTGACAGGCATATACAGAATAAGGCTGGGTTTAATATGTTTGCGGGGCCCACTCCTCCCCCTTGCTTATTCTAACAGTTGATCTACAAACTGGAATGCTTAATGTGAATCAGGTACCACAAAATATCAGATATTCAATTCATATCTTGAAGGTTTGCCTTTATTGTATATCTGTTTAACAGATGACCATTGAAATGCTCCAATTGTCGCAGCCAAATGCCCTCAACGTTTTCTCTATCATGATATCCACAAATGCGGATATTCGCCGAATTTTAACATTCCATGGCAACATGACGAGTTCCACCGGTGGAACATGGTCTGCTTACCCTTCTACATTGAGTAACATTTTACAATACTCAATACTGCTTTTGAAATGACCTGTGAACCTTAAATCGATTCTAAATTAAAACAGGTACACTATGGTCCTTATTTTTGTATGGTATTTTCTATACTAAAAAATTAGAGCGTCAAAGGGAACCACTGCCCTGGGAAACATTCGATGTCGACCTATATGAAAATAAGGAGATGTGGCGTGATTTCCAATGAGACAACTTTTCACAAAAAAAAAAAAACCCACAAATATAACAGACAGCAGCCAAGCCAACAACAAACTTTAAATAGATGTTTGTTAAAAAAAGCGTTGTAACTTAATTTATAAGATTACTTTAATTTTCTTTGTAAATCTTGTAGTAAATAAGGTTAAATTATCAGTTTTGATAGTATAAATCTAAAGAAAGATTATACGATGGCGTTCATAGTTTTATAACTGCAATTTACACCTTCAAACAATGAAGCAACGCGCGCTTTGGACATAAATTAATCTTATAAAACACAGTTTCCTGTAATAAATTTTGTTCATAAAATCAGTGCTAGCATTTTAGTTACAGCTTTATGTTTTACTCTTACTTGTTAACGTTATGATGTTACACATTTGACCTTACTAAGTGTAAACATTATATTTCTTATTCTTGGAATATAATATGGTAATCACTCAATTTCTCTTAAACTGACCAATGAAATTCACATGCTTGTATTTATAGCGATTTCTTAGATATCTCTTAACGATTTAAAATTTTCAATTAATAATGCGGACAATGTAAGTTCTACGACAGACTCGAATATCATTATATTATGACTTGTAGAGAGAGTTAACGTAACATTGCTGTAAAATTCCAAATGCATACAAATCTAATGGTTTATTTAATTAAGACAATACTATCATTTTAGAAAAAAATGCAAGTTTATAAAAATAATACATGTAAAAGTCAGTCCTCCAAGCTAAATTAAATTTAGTTTGTTCACACATGTGCATGTTTATATAGATAATGTAATTGTAAATGTCCATTTTGTCTGTAAATATGACATGTAGTTTTATGAGAATAAAGTTCATTCACACTTTAGATGAGAAAATATGTAGACTTTGTCGCCGTGAAAGTATGGAAAATCATTTTTCATTATAAAGAATATAAATAAAAGTCGTAGATTCCATTATAAGTAGAATCTACACAAGAAGTATATCAGAAAGCAAAGAAATAAAATGCAATTAGCTTTCAAATAACGGAGTTGTATTATTATAGCTCAATTCAAATAATTTATGAATAAAACATTATTGAAAAAAGGTGATTCAGATTTTGAATACAACTTCGTTGTGTAGATCGATACCCCTAAGCCTGCATCACATTCCATTGATTACATGGTTAAGATACATTGATAACATATTTTATGACTAAGCATTGGTCACCACTATTTATTTACTGTTTTTGATCTGGTATTCCTCTAAAATATCAAATAATTATCCTTGAAACTATTTCCAATTTTTTATTTGAAACTGTCAATGCAGTATAAGCAGTCGTTCATCATGAGAAAGCAAGTTCGCGATGTATCAATTAATACATGAATCTTGTTATCATATTTCTCAGATGTCATGTCGGTTTCTTAAATTTATATAAGTTGTAAATATTTATTTTGTTATTCATTCACTTATTTATTTACTTTTTCATGTTTTTTTACTGTTTAATGTATTTATTTTTGTAAATATACAAAGATTTCCCGACTTTCGCAAACATTTGGGTACTAAAACAGAAAGAAATATACTACTTACCAAAAGTGATAATTCCACTCATTAGAAATGAAAATAAAAGCGTTTTTATAAAATAAACCATTTTGTTCAGTATATGTATCTTAGATATATTGTTATACACTTTCAATCCTTCGAACGATATAAATATTTACTGAGAATTTAGCAGACGACTAAACGTCTCACGTGGGCAGTGAGTCACATGATCAATACATGAATAACTACCTTTTAGACACAATTATTAATTAATAGATGTTGTGAATGGAGTATATTATGGTGTGGTCACTGTGCAAGAATTTGATTCCGTTTTGCATACTTGTGGTTCTAAGTGGTGAAGAGGCTAATTATTTGGGTTTCCTGGTTAATAGTGCAGACAGAAAACGATAAGATCTAAACATGATGCAGATGAAGTTAAACATAGTTTGCATGTTTCAAGTATTTGTGTAAGGAGACTAATAACTTGCTATATTTCATTTTTGAATGTCTGGAATAGCTCTTTCATTTTAGATACATTTCGCTATTCTTTATGCTAAATTAAAGTGAACAAACATTTAGACCTTTGACGAAAAAAATACTTTTGATAAACAAAACAGTCAAATTCTCCAAATATGGGTTTATAATTGTTTTCCGACATTTAAAGACCACTTCGTTAAACAGTAAAACATCAAAATACTTAGATAAAATGTTTTTTTTCTTTATACTTAAACCACAACTGTTGGCAAAAAGCATTATTTTCTACCTCATTTCATTCGTACCAAAATAAATATTTTCTGAACTAACTAAAATAAACAACAAACAAGAAAATGGGTTGTGCGTTCGTTACAAAGATCGCATAAATTTTATATAATGAACGAGTCAACAGAAAACAATAAAGATCATACATATGTCTCAATGTCAACATGTTATATAATCACATAAGTATCAAGAGTACAAAGCTACTACTAGAAGGAGGGGGAGGGAGGGAAAGCTAACGCAAACAACTGGAATATTCTTATAACACGTCCTTTCCAACTTTGTAACAAACGTCGCATTAATCGAACGGACCCATACAAATTCCTTATATACCCTCAACCGAAACCATCCGTACATACACATAAACATAACCCGCGAAAAATACCAAGTAAGGGAAACCCCTTTAATGACATAACGGAACTCAAAGAAATAGATTTATTTGGAGAAAAATCATAACGGTATAGTACAATTTTATTACAATACTGTAATAGCAATGGATACATTCTTCCGCTAATATCTTTACATACCAGATAGAAAATACACGTTTTAGTTTATAAAAAATTCTAGAGACTTATTAAGTACCATAGTTATATATCTGAATGGTGCTTGTACAAAACAATTCAGTGCTTCAATTAATATTTTAAAGTGTATAAAGTTTAAAAGTTACTAAGGGACAATAACAAACAGATATCGAATGACAGACAAAACCACTTCCAAAGGTAAAAACGACGAAACAGACAACACCACTTCCAAAGGTAAAAACGACGAAACAGACAACACCACTTTCAAAGGTAAAAACGACGAAACAGACAACACCACTTCCAAAGGTAAAAACGACGAAACAGACAACACCACTTCCAAAGGTAAAAACGACGAAACAGACAACACCACTTTCAAAGGTAAAAACGACGAAATAGCAGTACACAAAACACTATCCTGAAACTAACATTTAAACAGTATGAACCTATTCCAACAGAGGTGAACTGAGACGATTTTGAACTCAATGGTGGACAGTTTCTGCTCCATCAATGACACATATCTTGTTGCTCATTGCAAGTAAACATCTTTGAAAAGTAACTTTTGATGATAGGTCAAAAAAGGAAAATAGGATCTGTGAATTATTGTTAGGACACATGGAACATACATGTATCCATGGTCATCTGTTACACAGATAGTCAACGGTTAATTAGTCATGAGTCATGTTGCAGTAAAGATACATCCAGTTTTTTCTCTCAGAATTAAAACTGTCTCCTGAAAACCATGCCACCAAACAGAACGTGTATGTTACTAATAAAAACTCATGTATCTTGATGTTGGCCGTTCAGATTTTTGTATGCTGGAACTAAAGTAGTTTTTATCAAAGTATTTGTTTCTCCAAACCCAGGACATGACAGAGCAGAAAATACATGAAGACTGTATGTTAACATCTAGATATATTTTATGTTATTGTTTTGTTCCTGGTGCTGTCTCATTGACAAATATATCATGTCTCATTGTATTCATAATTTTTTCTACATTCTTCATTCTATTTTCTGAAACAAAGTTTCAAAAAAATGAAAATTACACTTTGTAAATCTTATGCCCCGATGCGCTTTTCTGGATTTACCCTCATCCAGAAAGCTTTAAGCCAAATATTTGAAAGCCAATTTATAAGTACCGAAACATATGGAAAGCTATATGACCTCAATGGATCTAAAATGATAGCCAAATTCATCTAAGGTCAACTTTGCCTGAGGGAGTTTAATCTGACTTAAAGTTTGGAATAGTTAAAGTCAGTTGTGCATATTTTTTCCTCACGTTATTTTAATAGTCTAGAGCTTTTAATAGAGTATATTTGAGTAAGACTGATTGATTATAGGAATGAATCAATTTTCATGAATGGTAAATATAAAAAAAAATACCCATAAAATATTTTAAAACCATAATAACTTGATAAATAATTAAAATATAAGATAATCTTAATTAATAGAATAAATGGAATTGAATGATATAAAACAGAAAGAATGAGATTTCTTATGGATAAATAGGAAATAGTTAAATGTTTAATTATTTATTTTGATGCTTCTGCCATTTTTAAGAAGTCAACGATGAGAATTACAAAAGAGCACGTAGAGGCCAACATAGTCTTGAACAATAGACGGGTGTCATTACTTTATATAATGTTCTAAATCATCTCTAGTCATCAATAGTTGTAAATGAATTTGACAGAAATAATCAAAGACCTGACATTGAAATCCAATTATCAAATTAACGAAAAACATTAAAATATTGAACTTGGGACAGGCACATGAAATCAAGATGTCATCATATATGATCGATGTGACGTAGATTCTTGATACTTTTTATTTTGACTTTAAAATTAGCATTAGGTAAGGATAGAGTTTCCTTTGTATTTTTTATAATTTTGCCGGTAATTTTGCTATGTTGCTTACTCGGTTAGTATTCAGAGACAAAGAAACTATGAAATTTCTATCCTCTCTTTGCCATAAATATGATGTTGTTCCTGCGGACAAAGCTTCAAACAATATTGTTTTGTCTGTAATTCCTATTACTACGAGTGTCTCATCAAAGATTTAGGAATAAATGAGAGCTCAAGTAATCCTACGTACAAAAACGTAACTTTTGATAAGAATGAACTTTTGGCAAATCACGAGTCCAGCATGACCTCATTGAATATTCAAGTGAGAAAAAATCTGAGGACTTACCTTGTTTGTATAAGATACCGAAACTTCACCAAACTCCGTACAACCACTGGTACATTGCCGGCTCATATGCATGTTATATCAAGGAATTATCCGCTTTTCTTCGCAGTTGAAGAGGGATTATATAGATACTGTGATATTGTTTACTCGAGTATACATAGTGGAATTAACCACATTTATATTTCTATGTACTCAAAAGAACTTTTAGAAAATATTATATCTTGGTTATTCTCTGAAATAAATTCTATCAAAAGATTCTATTTTCATACCTTTTAAACCATATACTACATGGAAAATTGAAACTCGTCTTAAACAAATAATCCACAATGCTTTTCTCAATAAAAAGGGTACCATACGCTACACATTTATTTTTTTTGGGATACAATTCGGCATATTTTGTTAAAAATGAACCCAATCAAACATGCTTCACCGAAGCTCAAGTGATCAGTATGTTGAAGTTTCTCATTGACAACATATTTGTTGAATTTGTAGGCAGAATTTTCCAGCAGGATGTCGGCATTCCCATGGGAACCAACTATGCACCTCACCTTCCTGACCTTTTCTTTTCATTTATTTATATATGCCTTGGAGTTCCTTCAGACTTTTGTGAAAATCAAGAAGATCAAAAAGCTGGATCATTTAATTTCACATACAGGTATATTGATGATGTTCTTATCTTGGAGTAGACATTTCTCAACTCGTACGACATTCAAGAGCTTGCAGCTGCTACTCAGACTTTGTAAAATGTCATCGGTGTCTGAACAAAAAATAATCTGCAATGGTTTTGTCAAAGAAAAACTCGTCTTTTCTCAAAAAGTTCATTGAAAAGTGCAAAGACCTAATAGATGAATATTCATTATCTACTTCACAAATAATACAGTATGGTTTTGAGTTATTTCTAGGTGCAGACGTTGTATGTCATCTTATTTACTTTACAGTTTTCCCTTTATTTGTTTTGGTAGTTATGTTACATTGGTCGTTTGACTCTGGATATCGGTTGGTATGTGTGTATCCTGCTTTCGGATTTTTTTGCTTTGGACGTTCCTAATGCGGGTGGGTAGAGATGCAATTGGGACGCATGAAGGTTTTAAAGTGATGTTTTCAATTTGTTTGCCCTTGTTTTCTTAATTTGTACTTTATCAGGAAAGTGTATATGTCATTATGGTTTACTATACCGTATGTACTATCAACTACAAAAACTTATTTTGTTGGTGTCTTTGTCAGATTTATTTGTTTGTTTGTTTGTTTTTAGTCAGTTGTGTTGTATATCTGATGTATGTTGACACAGTGAATGCTGGATCCAAATAATTTTCATGGTAACCAATTATAAATTGAGAATAGAAATGGGGAATGTGTCAGAGACAACAACCCGACCAAAGAGCAGCAAACAGCCGAAGGCCACCAATGGGTCTTCAACACAGCGAGAAAACACCGCACCCGGAGGCGGGCTTCAGCTGGCCCCTGAACAAAAATGTGTACTAGTTCAGTGAAAATGGACGTCACACTAAACTCCGGAACATATAAATGAACTAAAATTAAAAAAAACATACAAGACTAATAAAGGCATATATATGTCTGTTTGGGGTGCCCATCCAATGTTGTCAATATAACGGAACTATAGACAACTGTCATACATATGGGAGGTTTAGCTAGTTATAAAACAAGGTTTAACCCCTCACTTTCGTCAGATACAGCTGTACCTGTACCAAGTCAGGAATATGACAGTTGTTTCCCATTTGTTCTGTTTGTTAGTCG